GTGGCCGCGCTGAGGGACCAGGCGGTCCTAGCAGCCCCAGGTGTACTTCCAACAACGGCATCTCCAACCTGGGAGCGGGTTGGATGCCCGCGGCCTTCAGCTGACCATCTGGATGACGCCGCCACCGAGCCGCCAACCAGCGGTAGCTTAACAGTGGCAGCTACAGCAGCGGCAGATACAGCACCGCTCCAGCGGCCAGCGTTCACCTGCGGCGGGGCCGCGCTGAGGGACCAGGCGGTCCTAGCAGCCCCAGGTGTACTTCCAACACCGGCATCTCCAACCTGGGAGCGGGTTGGATGCCCGCGGCCTTCAGCTGACCATCTGGATGACGCCGCCACCGAGCCGCCAACCAGCGGTAGCTTAACAGTGGCAGCTACAGCAGCGGCAGATACAGCACCGCTCCAGCGGCCAGCGTTCACCTGCGGCGGGGCCGCGCTGAGGGACCAGGCGGTCCTAGCAGCCCCAGGTGTACTTCCAACACCGACATCTCCAACCTGGGAGCGGGTTGGATGCCCGCGGCCTTCAGCTGACCATCTGGATAACACCTCCACCGAGCCGCCAACCAGCGGTAGCTTAGCAGCGGCAGATTCAGCTCTGCTCCAGCGGCCAGAGTTCACCTGCGGCGGGGCCGCGCTGAGGGACCAGGCGGTTCCAGCAGCCCCAGGTGTACCTCCAACACCAGCAGTCCTATCTTCGGTGCGGGATGCACGCACGCAGCCTACAGCTGACCATCTGGATGACGCCTCCACCAGCGCCAAAGGTCCCCGATCCAAAGCTTGTTGTCCAGCAAACAAAGTATCATTAAGACAAAAAAATACACAGTTCTTCCAAACAGTAAATCATGCTAAGGTCCTTTGGGACCCAAAAGTTAAACCAGAAGGGGTATTTGGGGGACACATTAATATTAGAAGCATGATGTCTAAAACTGAGCAACTGGAAAAACTTGTGACAGACTCCAACTTGGACTTTCTGGGTCTATCTGAGACGTGGCTAACACCAGCTATTCCCCAAGGCATCATTAACATTGCAGGCTATAACACCTTCAGAAGAGACCTCTCTCATGGTAAAGGTGGAGGAGTGTTATATGTCAAGAACAGCTTACAATGCAGACAACTCGATCTTCCGAAAAATGCCATAGAATGTGTTGGTGTTAAAATCATGCTCTCCTCTAAAATGAGTTTTAACGTTATAGTTCTATATAGACCACCCAAAGAGAAGGATATATTTTTTAACAACTTGGCGGAAATTCTCAAAACCTGTAACAACAAAGAACTCATCCTAATGGGAGACTTTAACCTTGATTGGCTTGATAAATCCAGACGTAAAAAACTAAAGGTCCTGGCAGACAAGTACCAGTTGACCCAGACTATTAAAAATCCAACAAGAATCACAAAGTCTTCCAAGACATTACTGGACTTAATTTGCACTAATAGTCCTGATTGAGTCTCTGAAAGCTATAATCTGATCACAGGTATCTCCGATCACAATCTGACTTTAGTGTCATGACGGTTAAATAAGCTAAGATATAGAGCAGGTAATGGAATAAGAGAAGATACACCAACATCATTTATCCACAAAAAGGATCTGGATCGCTTAGAAAATGAATTAAAATCAATAAAATGGGACAGAGTAACTGAAAGTGTAAATTGTGAGCTGGCATGTAAGGAGTTACAAGCTATTCTCTCAGAGCTCCTGCTCAAATTCACTCAAACAAAAAATTTTAAGCGTAAACGAAGACAGCCTCTGCCATGGTTCACTGAAGAGCTAGGACAGCTAATGAAAAACAGGGACATGGCTCTGAAAAAATCCTTGAAATCTGGACTAGAAACCGATCGACTAGCTTTTAAAAGCCTCAGAAACAAAGTGACAGGACAGTTCAGAAAGGCCAAAGCAAATTTCTTTTTAAATATCATTCAACAAGCCAAGGGAAATAGCAAGATAATCTGGAACTGCATTGACAAACTATCTGGTAGGGAACAGAAAAAAAACAGCACCCTAGAGCTTAGAACGGCCGCTCACAGTACAGTTAGCGATAGCCATGAGGTGGCAAATATTTTTAATACTTATTTTATTACCTCTGTGACTGAGTTGGGTAGATCTTTTCTAAAAAACACATCATGTACTGTAGCTAGAGTACAAACGACGGAAGACCCGGTACTGTATTTTTCTCGTGTAAATGAATTATGTGTTACCAAAATTCTTGCCTCGATGTCAAACTCCAAAGCTAAAGACATCTGGGGACTTGATACGGCCTTTTTTAAAAAAAACATAAAGACATATTAGCCCCACCTCTTATGCACATCACTAATCTCTCATTGGACAAGTGTGTTTTTCCATCAGCCCTTAAGTCAGCCATCGTAACTCCAGTTTTTAAATCAGGTGACCGACAGGAAGCTACAAATTACAGACCTATTAGTATACTCCCCGCCATCTCCAAATTGCTTGAAAAAGTGGTTGCAGAACAATTGAAGTCTCATATTGATAAAGAAAAATTACTACATCCCATGCAATTCGGTTTCTGTGCAAATCATTCTACTGAAACGGCCTGCTGTTACTTCCTTGAGGTCATCAGGGATAGGCTTGACAAAGGTGGGGTAGTAGGAGCTGTCTTTCTGGACCTACGTAAGGCATTTGATACTGTGAGTCATTCTGTTCTCCTCTCCAAACTAACCAAATTCAAACTCTCAGATAACATACTTAAATGGCTGCAATCTTACCTGGCAGATCGCTCTCAGTGTGTTAAAATCAAAAACAAATTATCAGACATCCAACCATGTAGTATGGGGGTGCCTCAAGGATCGATTCTCGGCCCTCTTTTATTTTCTATTTACATCAATAACCTCCCCACAGTCTGTGACAAAGTAGAAACAATAATGTACGCAGATGACACAGTCTTACTTACCCATGGAAAAAATCATGCTGAAGTTGCTGCCAAATTATCTGAGGCTATGGACAGAGTAGCGGAATGGCTTGATCAATCTTGCCTTACGTTGAATACAGATAAGACTGTGACCATGTATTTTAATAAACAAAGTAAGAAAAGTGTGTATCCCAATGTATTTGTGAGAGGACAAATGATAAAAAATGCTGATGAAGTTAAATACCTAGGAGTTACTCTTGACTCAAATCTGAGCTTTAAACGACACATTAAAAAAATGGCTCATGTTTTGAAATTTAACATCCTCAATTTCCGTCACATTAGGAGCTCTCTAACAACTGAAGCTGCCAAAATGTATCTGAATGCGATGATCCTTCTTTACATGAGTTATTGTCTGCCATGCTGGACGCAGGCCAACCAAACCGCATTAAAGCCGATCAAATCCTTGTATGGACAGGCCCTAAAAATACTGGATAGGAAACCAAGACAGTACCACCACTGTAACATTCTTTCCAAATACAACCTATTAAGTTTTGATAATCTAATTACCTCCTCATATATTCGTTTAATTCATAAAATAATTCACAATGTTGCCCCCCCTCCATTGAAAAAATATGTGATAGCCTGTTCTGAGCAGAGAACAAGGGCATTAAGATCTGCATCGAGAGGGGACTGCAAGGTTCCACAAAGAAACTCTGCTTTTGGTCAATCCTCCTTTTCTGCCAAGGCCATCAGAGAATGGAATAGGCTTCCCAGTGACATGAAAATTAATGCAAATCATAAGCTTCTGCCCTGTCACATCCTAAGTAATCAGTGCTGCCAACACTAGGTGGTGCTGTCTGATTTCCTGCCAGTGTTGTTTGTTTTTTGTTCTTTCGCTCTGTATACATTTAGAATGTTACTACTGTTCACTGTTACCTCGGTTCTACTTTACTACAACTCTTCTGTAACTCTTAATTACCATTGCTGGTATTTGATTCTTCTGTGCAACTCTGAACTACTATAGTTGGTACTTAAAATGAAACTGTAAGATGTCAATATTGTCTCTTCTCTGTAAACTTTTTATTTTTATTTATATTTATAATAGGCTAAACAGCACTTTTTATAAGCACAATAGGTGCATTTTACCTCATTGTAAACGTAATACTTTTCATCAGCACTATACTTTACTGTTTAAAAAAATAAGAAATTTCATAGACATTGCATTGGCACTTTATGTAGGCAACATAGAATATTTATAATAGGCTAAACAGCACTTTATATAAGCACAATAGGTGCAGTTTACCTCATTGTATACTTAATACTATTCATCAGCACTATACTGTGTAAAAATAAGAAATTTCATAGGCATTGCATTGGCACTTTATGTAGGCAACATTAAATATTTATAATAGATTAAACAGCACTTTATATGGGCACACTAGGTGCATTTTGCCCTGCACCTTACATTAGGAATAATTCTTTAGACTGTGTATGTATGTATGTATGTATGTATGACACTGTGTGGTATGCTGTGCATATTGTGTGGTATCATATGCCGTATAGCACTATGTGCCATGCAGCGTGCGGGGCATACATGTGCATGTCACGTGGGACTCCTATATATGTAAATGATGTGTCTGTATCTGATGTTGTGTGCTCCTATTGTGTTAATTGTGGATTGTGTATTTTGTTGTGTTTCATGTTTTGTGTTAGAGGACTACAGATGGAAATTAGCCTTTAGCTAAATCTGGTGCAAACATCTTTTTGTTTTGTAAACAACTAATGTACGTGCACGCTGTTCTTTTTATAAACTAAACTAAACTAAGATGAAAATGGGGTGTAAGGCATTGATAATTCTGTCTGACATAGACCAATCTATTACTTTATCTTTAGGTGTGGTTATAACACAAATTGATAGGGGAGATTGTTCTGTGTCAATGATCAGCTGTTACCCCTTTGGGAGGGTATTTGCCCTAAGGAGCACTAGTTTGATCCAAACATCTCCAAAGGTAGAATTGAAATGAGAGGGTACTCTTAACCTCTGTAGTGGCATGGAAGCAGCTGTTTCTTATCTCATCACAGTATCATCTACCACTGTGGAAACGAGTCATGAATGTAACTGTCTCTGTGTGTGTTGTAGTTGCACATTGTTGATGGGGCCCTGCTGCGAACCAACCCAGCACTGGTGATGGAGGGAATCCAGAGATTTCTCGGTGTCACTCCCATCTTCAACTACACCCAGGCTCTAATGTTTGTAATGCACTCACACACACATACAACCACACATATATACACACTGTTCATCTAGTGAACCTATACTCTTAAAAGAACAGCGCATTTAGTTTGAGAGCAATGAAAAACCCAGCAATGTTTCCAAGTACCACGTGTGAAAGGTGTTAAATAAACACACTGTGTGTCTGCAGGTACGATGACAGCAAAGGTTTCTGGTGTCACAGAGTGGAAGGAGGTAGAGCCAAATGTCTGGGGAAGAGTAAAGGCAGGAAGTACCCAGAGATGAGTCCTGAGGTATATCTACATTTCACTCAGTCATCACCTCACTTCACTCATAGACTCCAAGTGTAAACAGCAAACTCTAAAGGATCACTTTGGTTTACTAAAACTTGGGTCTTGTTTTTTATTCCATCAGTATTAATGAAATTGTACTCACCAAGGTAAACAGTTGAGATTTTGGAATACAATGACATCACTAAAAAGAAGTCTTGGGGACATGAAACACGAGCAGTCAGGTGGTTAAATGTACTGGTCAGCAGCACTTTGAAGAAAGTAAACCCAGTTTATATTGATAGCACATGAATGGGAGGTCCTGGCGTCTAAGGAAACACACACACAACTGGACTGGTTCTGCCTCTTTAGAAATATTAAGGGGCCACTGGGCGCTACTCTTGTGCCTTTTCTGTGCCAACTTTCAAGAGCACTGAGGCAGGTTGCATCTGAGGTTGCTAAGCGACCATAACCAGCACTGTATCATAGCCTCTTTACCTGAAATCCTGAGTGCAGAGCTGATCTTTTTCCAGGCACTGTTTGTGTGCGCTCTGGCAGCCCTGCACTAGAATTATTAACTACTTCTTCATAGTTATCACTAACTGATGTTTGCCTGTGCCTGCCACCTATCTGTGTTGAAAACAATGAATTTGAGGGCACAAAAAACACTGCATGTGTAAGGCCCCTAAAGGGCCCAAACCAACCACTAAAAAGTATGTGTATGACACAGCCTCATCTTCTTCCTCTGTGCTAAAGAGTTCCAGTGTTGTTAAAAACACATTCATGAGTTGCACTGTTTCACAGGGTGACATGTTACTTTATTATCATGAACACACACACACACACACACACACACTTCTTCCTAAACATTTTCAAACAGTACCTCTCCATACACACTTAACACTAGCGCTGCCCAACATTCCCACATTATGTTATTTATTTTAGTTTAATAAACACTTTGCCACCTTTAATCATTGTGGATTCTCTCATTTGTTGCAAGTCTTGACCAAGGTTTGTTAAAATTGTTTTTCATAACATCTTCCACCCAACCCCAAATGTCCATGCCCCTACAGGCATACACGTGCACATATAAAATACTGTACACGAGTACTGTGATATGTTAACTAACTTCACTATGAAGAGAAATAATCAGTCAGTAGTGTAAGGCAGTGGTGCTGTGTGGATTTACAGATAAATATTCAAACAATTAATGTACCCATACTAATTGACTATTATTTTTTAGTAATTTCATGCCTCTATGCCTGTAATAGCGGTAGTCAACGGCATTTTGTGTTGTCCGTCTATCCCATTCTCATAAAGGCAATACCTCAAGATCACCTTGAGAGAATTTATTCAAATTTGGCACAAACATCCCTTTGTACCGAAAAATAAACTGATTAAAATTTGGTGGTCAAAGGTCAAGCTCACTGTGACTTTGTCTGTCTTAGTCTTAGTCTCTTCAACACAATATCTCCAGAACATAGTGAGGGAATTTCCTCTAAATAGCACAAACTTGGACTTAACTATGAACTGATTAGATTTTGGTGGTCAAAGGTAAAGGTCACTGTGACCTTGCATCTGTCTCATTCTTGAGAATGTAATACCTCCAGAAAACCTTAGGGAATTTGTTTACGTTTGACACAGTGACCTTGACCTTTGAAGACCAAAGGTCAAGGTCACTGTGACATGTTTTTGGCCATAACTCAAGAATTCTTACGCTAATTATGACAGTACTTAACACAAATGTCCAATGGGATGAAATAATGAAGTGATGACATTTTACACCCAAAACGTCAAAGGTCAAGTTCACTGTGACATCATAATGTTCTGTAAAAACACTTTTCAGGCCATTATTCAACGTCACATCCAGGGAACAGAAGGAGACATTTGGTCAGATACTGAATTGGTGACAGAAGGGCTCTTTAGGACTAAGTACATACAGTACATTTGTTCACAGTAATGAGCAGGTGAAATGTCTGTCTAGCTTACATATGAGGTGTCTCAAGATTTAGGAAAATACAATTTTATTGAACACAATAAAAGTATAATCTTAAAAACAACTGGCATTTATTGAACGAACGTCAGTTGACTAACACCCCTCCAGCTGATCTATGAGAAATGACACTACCTCCAGAGGGTCGGACTCATTCGTCCGTCTTTACCACCCCATGCAGGGCTGCAGGCTAACTTTTTTTAGTAGTAGCACTGTAGCCCTTAACTGAAAAATTTTAGGAGCAGAAGCAGAAAATTTAGGGGCACACCTTTAAACCTCCTGCAATGCAATTATTCACATTTTTGGCCATTTTAACTGTATCATAAACTATATGTAGTCTTCTACTGTATATTAACATTGGACTGTTTTAATAATTAAAGTATTTAGCATTACACAGACTTGTGGTCAGTGGGATGTGAGGATTCTTAAAGTAGCATCTGTACAGATGTGAAGCCCTGATTATATCTGACTGATCTTTAATGAAAGCTGTTGTCTTGTATTTTTTTTTCCCTCTGAAAACATTAACCTTGTAGTCAGACCACGGACGTAATTTGGGGGGAGGACACAGGGGACATGTCCCCTGCACTTTTTCAGACAGCAGTTTTGGTCCCCTGCAGTTTTTACCGTCCAAAAACAATGTTACGCGCCTATCACCGAGCACTAGGACCACACGGAAAACGGCCGCTCAAACTGAAGCCTGTTTCCCTTTAGAGGGCATGATGAGAAAGATACAAGGAGCACAGTGAACTGAATAGCAGTGATGGGAATAACGGCATTATAAAAAAACGGCGTTACTAACGGCGCTACTTTTTTCAGTAACGAGTAATCAAAACAAGTTACTGTCTCCCCCGTTATAACACCGTTACTCACAATAAAATGTGCCGTTACTTGGCTTTACTTGAGTTCACTGCAGTGGCTTTTCAGTTACTTTTTGGGGAAAGTAACGAGTAACTACAACTACTATTACTTTTTTGAAGTAACGTTCCCAACACTGCTGAGTAGTAACAATAGCAAACGAGCACAATGAACTGAAAAATAACACCAGAAAACTAGAAGGAGCACAATGAACTGAAAAGTACAATGGAGTATTAGGGACATATTGAATTTAAAAAAAAAACAAAAAACGGAGATTTCGAGAATAAAGTCATCCCGAGAAAAAGTTGTAATATTAGGAGAATAAAGTCGTAACTGAGAAAAAGTCATAATATTACGAGAATGAAGTCATAATTTAATGAGAAAAAAAGTAATAATATTATGAGAATAAAGTCGTAATATTATGCAGGCCTGGGGTGGCTAATCGGGGGGACCGGGACAATTCCCGGTGGGCCAGTCTGACGTTAGGGCCGCGAGGACCGGTGTTCAGTTATGTTTTTTATTGGGCCAGTGTTCAGTCATGGCACTGGGTATCACATATGCTGCTACCGCTATCCCTGGGCCGCCTTCACTGGCGCCCTCTGAGGTGGAGACACCGGCTCCGCGTGGCTGTGCAAGCTGCGCTCTGATTATGTGTGCATCTCCGGCGATGAATTTTGGAGTCGTTTACTGACACGCCTCTTCATTAACAAAGTGCACAGATGAAGGTGAAGTCTCTGCAGCAGCTGAATTGGTGAGGTGGAGACACCGGCTCCATGGTGCTCTGCAGTGGCGGTCTGATTATACGCACATCTCCAATGATTTGTGGAATCAACCACTGACACGCCTCCTCATCAGTAGAGTGGACGGAGAATGCCAAAGTCCCTGCAGCACCCAAGGTCGAGACAACGGCTCCACTGAGGTCAGCAGCTGCGTCTGACTACACATAGATCTTCAACCACCACCGTTCAAGTTAGTTAATTATCACGTCAATGAATTGTGTGGCGTTGTAACATAATTATATAATTTAAATAATAGTATGATGCAACGCCACATAACTGGGCAACTTTGTCTTGTAGCCCCTCAGAAGCAAGATCCAGCACCAAGCACCAGCCATGAGCCTACAAGTCCACAGTGAGCACTGCTTATTTGAACAGAATATAGATTCTGATATTGTTGAAAAGGATGTTGTGTTGTTAAGAATAATGTTGGAGATGTGCACTCATGTTGCAATAAATCTGCATTGTGAAGCAACCCTTACTTGCACTGAATTGGAAATGTTTTAGAAAAAGACACTGAATTACAAGGCTTTAGAGAACAGTGCGCTATTGTAGACTTAACATATAATAGGTCATGATCTAAAGTGGGCTGGTCTGAGGCATGAAACTCCAGGGCTGAAATGAGTCTCACTCCAGCCCTGCCTCCAAATGTGTGTGTTGAGGCAACAGACCTGAGACAAAGAGCAGCTGCCACAAGCAGGTTCATCCTCTAACCCATTCTGTTTGTCGTTGGTTATTTCCTTAAAAACTATGACTTTATTCTCATAACATTATGACTTTTTTCTCATTAAATTACGACTTTAGTCTCCTAATGTTATGACTTTTTCCTCAGTTACGACTTTATTCTCGAAATCTCCGATTTTTTTTTTTCCTTCAATGTGACCCTAATACTCTGTTGTAGAAAAGTAATGCCATTATAGAAAACTACTTGAACTACTAGAAAACGCAGGGAACTAAAGGGGGTGCTGTACCGGGACATAAGAGTTTGATTTTTATTTTAAAAGTTTATTTTTTTCATCCTTTGTTATATATTAACTGAAGGGGGTGCTGTACTAAGACATAAGAGATTGAGTTTTATTAAAACGTTTATTTTTGCATTCTTTGTTATATATTAGCAGAAGGACTGTTCACTTTATACATTTTGCTTTATTGCACAATCTTTATTGTTTCTACGCAGAATTTCTCAATTAATTTGATGGCCTGAACTGTACCTGTAATTAACTGAACCTTTTAATTATAGTAAAAGTAACTTAAAAAAGGTGTCTGTGAAATTTCTGTCTATGACAACTTTGTATTTAAAAAGCCTCTAGGCTGTAGTTTTATACATATTTTGAACTTCATATTGCTTTGAGGTGTAGGGCAGATATTCATTAATTCAAGCTTTATTTTAACTCGAAATTACACTGAGGGACACCCCTTATTTCCAGTCAAGTAATATCAGGGCACTGTTCAAGCAATAGGTGATAACACCTTTTTATTATTGCAGCTTATCAGGCCGTGCAGTCTAACAGGCTGAAAAATGTCTGAAAAATCAACAGAAGAAGTAATGCCTAATATATATAAGTTACAGTCCTTATTTACAAACATTTCTGTTTTTGAACACGTGTGGCCTGTTATATAGAGATGTATTAATGCATTTTTGTTCAATCACAAACAAAAGCTATATGTGGGATTTATATCTTGTTATCTGCAGGGACAGATGAGTAGGCACTGTTCATCAACTTATATGACAGCAGCAAAAGTTTAACGTTTCCAAGGCACCGGGTAAAACGGTCTCAAGGGCTGTCAATCAGTCGTTTGCAGTCCCTGCCCTTGCAGACTTTATGTTATGTCAGTAAATACGTCACACTACATACTGCTGAAGTTTGCGAGGGTTCAGTCCGCAAATCCACTGAGTGGACATTTGGATTCAGCTACCGACTTGACCGCAACTTGTCACCACCTCAGCGCCACGGCGCAGTTCATCTGGAACGAGCCCACTGATGAGTCAAGGTGACGTGATCCTCTCAGTTAATTAATCACTCACTCTCGGACTTTCCTCCTCTCACGCACATTAGCCTAAACTGGTGGACCCGCTCCCTCGTTATATAGCATGAAAAAAACGCCCACAAATTTGCAGGTTGCACACGAGCGAGTAGTTGTAAAAAGTAGGCTTCTGGCACTGAAAAAAAAAAACGGTTGCAAAATGTGAGGAAAAAATATATATATCAGCAGCAGCACCGCTCCTAGTTACATATAGGGGAAACACTGACACTGGGGAAAGCCCACACTTAAATGATGTAAAGATACGTAGAATATCATTGCCATGTCTGTACCAAATCATTTTTTCGCTAGTTCTGATTTCTGACCTTTCCCAATCTCTCTCTCTCTGTTTGTATGTATGTGTGTGTGTCTGTCTGTCTGTCTGTCTGTCTGTCTGTCTGTGTAGTCGCGTGCCTTTCTGGCTGAGTACTACCGTGAGCACAGCATGGACCTGCTGCGTCTGCTGAATCGGTTGGCCCAACCACTGCCGTCCTGGCTCCGCCAAGAACTCCAGAGCACAAGCTGGAGCTGAGGCCACAAGCTCTCACACACACACACACACACACACACACACACACACACACACACACACACCACAGAAAACCAAGACTGGAATCTGTGGATGAGCCAACACTTGGCTCTGGATTAGACTGGACTACCTGATCTGGAATCAACAGTAGCATACATTAAAAGAGCTACAAGGTTTTAGCTGATGTTACTGGTGCTCCTGTTCCATGGAAAAAAAGAAGACAGTACAACATGAGATCCTTCTTACAGAAGGATCCCAGGGGACTCTCCCTCCTACTCCTGATTTGGTGTCAACCTCCCTTGAGCACTGGGCAGCCCTCGGCCTCAGTCAGTGTGCGTTGATCAGGGGCTGACACTGTAACATATCAGTTTGCTGTGGATCCAGAGGACTGGGTGACCAGCAGGTTTGGGGCATAAAGACCAGGTCAGACAGCCTTAATAAGGGGAGATGTGGAGTGTATGACTGGATGCAGGACAAGCATGCACAAACACACACACGTCTCATCTCTCCACGAATGATTGATTGTAAAGCCTTTTCAAAAGCAGTTGTATATGTTAGGTTTGAGGGCAGCTGGGTAACAGAATGGCCATCAGCCTGAAGAAGACAGACAGTCGAAATGCTGACCGAGGTTTCTCTGTCTCGCGCACGCACGCACACACACACACATCCCCCTACCTGCAGGTTCAGCAGTCAGAGTGCTGCATTTCCTCTTATCCTCACAGTTTTCCTGTCTGATTACTGTAAGGAAAAACATTTCGCAATGAATTTAGGGACTATGATGACAGGTCGATGTAAATATCATGTGTTTAGATTTCGTACCTCACTAAAGCCCAGGTGTGGTTCAGGCTCTGCCTCACACTGACATCCTGTCAGTGAGCAGCTTTATTATACTTTGTGTATTCACCAAGTCAAAAATGGTTTTTGAATTATGAGACTGTTCTCCACATTGGCTAAGGTCTCCCTCCAGTCTGCAAGTTTTGTTAAATATAATAGCTTTTAACCTACAAAGCAGTGTTTTTAAAAAAAATACCATAAATGTTTCGACAAATCAAAGGAAACACACAACATACAGGGAATGATATTCCTGGAAAAAAATTGAAATTAGAAAAACTGTTTTCCAGGCCTGAGTAGAATGAACCCAGTGTTTTGGAATAGTTTTTGGATATACATTGTTTTGGCAGTTGTTTAGAATATGTCATGTAAAACATGTCTAATGTCAGGTTCAGACTACACGAGATCAGCCAGATTTTAGCCCAATGCGGCGTTGTACGGTGTCCGCTCAGATTGTGAAAGACAATGAGTGTTGTATGCAGTAATCCATCTTTTTATCTCATGTAGTGTGTCATTGTAGAAGACAACCGATGCTGTGTCTGGGATGCCTCATGTAGTCTTGACAGAAAGTCTAGCATGTTTGATTTGCTTTTTGTCTTCTTCTGTCACAGCCATCACTGTCTTTATTTTTAATCCACTCCCGTCTGCCCTGTTAAAGTTAATGCATAGCGCTGTCATGTCAAACTCAACACTTCCTGTATCCGTCTAAAATTAAAAGGCCCTTATCATTTTGGTTGAGAGATTCTCCTTATTTTCTAAAAAAGCTTTTATTGTGAAACGTTTGCGGGAACTTGTGGAGGATTCAGTGACACATAGTTTGCATGGGGTAATTAAAATGTAGGTCCTGCCATGTGGTGGTGCTTTTTATGTTACTACAATAATATTTTGGCTGGCATATGAACAGCCATAGTGACTGAAATAATGGTAATAATAATAAAAATAGGAAAAGAAGAACCAGATGACATCACACATGTTGTGAAAGATGACCAGGGATGATTGGTTGTGGACCAACATGTAGTCTGTCGTGTCTGTAGGCCAAGTCCTGTCACAATTTCACGATTTTATGACTCTGTAACAGCCTAATCTGACACAGTGACTGTTAGAACAGACAAAAATATCGTGTAGTCTGAACATGGTATTACATTAGGCAAAATAACCTTCCTTGTATTACCTATATAAAATCCAGTGCTGCGCCGTGCGACTGTTGTAGATTTTAATATTAATGTTAATGTTAAGTAATGGTTGAAACCATATAGTCATTGGTTGAGACATCACCAGTATCACACCAGGCTCTCTACCAAAATGGTTGATGTTGTCAACTCTGGTCAGTGTGTTAATGGGGAAAAGCACTGAGACAACCAAAAGGCTGCTAAACAGACTGCCAGCTTTGGCACGTACTTCACGTCTGCTGTGGCCAGGCCAGATGATAAATCTTTTACACAGGGATGGAGCTATAGAGCCTACTAAGTCTTTTCTTCATGCTGCCTGTGCGTTTTTACACAGAACCAAACAATGACAGCATCATTCTGTGCCAGTGTGTGATTTTAGGCAGCATGCCAGCATCACGGAATCAAAAGAGGTGTGAGGCCTCTAGTGTGACATATAACATACGGGTTGGCACTTTCTAAACAACAACGATGTAACATGTCAATAACAATCATTTATCGTCCCTGTTATATGGCTCGTCGTCCACTCAGAGGGGAAGAAGCTCCCAGACCTAATTTTTTTCTCAATTTGCGGGAGTTTTCAGCTGTTACTCTTCTTCTTTGAGTTAGCTGCTACCTGCTAACAGCTACTTTTAAATCTCCTGTGGTGGGTCAAGTGCATAACACATTGTCAAAAGGCTGTCAGCCGTTTACACAGAAATCATTTTAGTGCTGTTAATACCTCCGATGCCATCTCAAAGGTGATACAACTTTGTCCACCCATTCTGCAATTGTGCCTTTTATACAGAACAGCACAGCGGCTTAACGGTGTGAAATTTCCACCTTGAAGAGACAGAATAAAAGGGGCTAATGTTACAGCTTTGTGTCAACTGTATGTGTAGACACAAAGACACTTAAGTCCATATTTTTGCTAAAAAGCTTGTCTTAAGGCATTGTATCCTGGAGTAGCGCCTTATGATCGCTATATAATTGAATTAATTTCTTTAAATTTTAAATAAAGTCACTGAAATGGTGTTAAATCTCATGGAAAAGCGTTAAAAATTAATCTGTAAAAAATTGGGATGCACGATATATATCAGGCTGATAAATTATCGGCTGGAAATGGGACATTTTTATAATTCTGCATTATTCCAATAACTGAAATTATAGCCAATAAATAGTGCCGATAATATGAAGCCACAATGCTTTCATTGACTAAACAAGGGCAGCAATCTACACACCCGACATAGTAAGTGGCAGTACATGTACCTTTAAACTTGGTTTGCAAGTGCCAATAAACACAGAGAAGAGGAAGAAGAGCAACAAATGCAGCACGCTGTCTAGAGGGCAAAACATGTCACGGTGTGGACGTCTACAGTTCCAGAGGAAGACAACAGGATTGTGCCAAGGGTCTGATCTCCGACCACCCAATACAGGTTAGATAGAGCCCAGAAGGACTGTCTCTAGAGTGTTAGCACGAGCTAATTAGCAACAGCGGCTTACATCCAACATTAAGATTTTAAAAGGCTCGACTCTGTTGCTAAATTTTTGAATAACCGCTAGCCATGTAATGCTTATTTTTACCTACCAGTGTGGAGCACGTCTCTCTCTGGCGCGTGCGTGCATGCGTGAGATGCAGCTGCTTGTTTGTCTTAGTTGAGGGTTAATGTGTGAGATGAATCAATACTGCATAGCAATTCTGCTTGGTAGTTGTAGGATAGTCTATTGTGGGACGGTGAGACGGGTGCCTGGGTGTGTTCATTAAAATGTTGTGTGACGATATAAACATTTCATACAACAGGTGTGACCTGCCGATGCACATTCAACCCGTTAATATGAGTCAGCTGTCACTGTCAGTGGAGACACCACTTTGCAGTTTAGTTTGTACACTTGACTGATACACCAGAAAATTACACAGTAACACTGGGCTTCATAATTTCCCTCTCTCTTACCGTTAACTTTAAATTTCATACTGATTAAAAGTCAATTTACTTTCACCTCCTTGTATTTATTTTGTTCATCTACAGTATATGGTTATATGGGAGCAAGGGCGTTGAGGGTACGCCATTTGACAATCCCCCAGAAAATCCTCAGCCTAATTATAGCAGGTATAGAAGAGTCAGAACTGTTCTTTGTTTTTGTTGTGTTAACAATTGTAATGTCAGGTGTATATGGTCTGATCAGGGCTATATTAAATAATATTTTCTCACTACATCTAAGCCTTTCTTACCCTCAGGTGTACATAAACCACAGGCTATACACCTCTTTTTAAAATACAAAAATGTGAAATTGTTGGTTATCGTATCAGTTATCGGCCACAAGAAGCAGGTAATTATCGGTTATCAGTATCCGTTGAAACATCCATATCTGTGCATCCCCGTAAAAATATGTGGGAACCCTGAACATATTGCTGAGCAAAGGTTGTGTCGTATGACTACATTTTTTGTCATTTGAGCAATGTAACTTTTTTTAAACACATTTCATTGCATAAATACTGGAAGAAGATACTAGCATCACAGATAATGTTTTTTAAACACAGAGCCAGACATCCCTAGTAAATTGACTTGGACATAAAGAATAAAGAGTGAATTCAACCAGCTTTTGACAGAGGCGACAGTGTTTTGTGGTCTAAATTGTTTTATTTTGTCATCAATCATAAAGTGTTTTCACCATTTGAATAGTGAAAAATAGTGAAGCAGTTGCACAGGCATCCTGACATGATGTGATCATGAGACACAGTCCTGGACCAGAGTGAATTCAAACCTAGTGTGGCTTTGTGTTAGACTGAGGGGCAGAGAAGCACCATAGGAAGAGAAAAGGATAAAAACAAAAACATCACATTAACACAGAATGCTAGATACACTTCATCCCCCACACACACTAACAGTAACAGTAACCCACGAATGTCATGGGACAAGAGAACAAATACTAGAGACATATGACTATATGGAGACAAATCAGAAGCTGCTGTCTTATCTTCTGTTTGTTTTGTATAAATGTCCAAAAGGCCAACACTGTATCATCTCTAATAAACACGTGGAGAGGTTGGAAATGATGCCTGATGCATCTTTTGTACCTCACTCACCCCAGTGTTATGTTTATGACAAAAGAAATATTCAACCATGATCCAACAGGCTCATCCAAACCACATGCAGGAAGAGGAAGCGCACGTTTGTATGAATCTATTTGAAGAAAGCTCAGTACTGTCAGCAATAAGGTTAAGAGGAGAAGTCGTGGCATCATATTGTGTCATATCACTGGGGAACTTAACATACGCAGTAAAATCTTGTCTGCACCTTCCAAATGGCTCAATAGCTGTAACTTTATCAAAGAACACTGGGATCATTGATCCACTTCACTCCGTACGTTTACATGCACACTTAAGTGGAGCATTTAATTGGACTGCTGTCCTTGTTCCAGTATACAAGCACCGGAGGGGAATGGATTTATGTCTCTGCTAGGATGGGTGGTGATATGCCCCCTTTCACCTAGTTAGTACTGGACCTTTTTCCAGTTGATCCATTATTTCACAGATCAAACAATCGAAAAACAAGTTGGCTACAATTTGCTAGCAGCAAACTGGTACCATGATGGACAACTTTACAGCTCTGTACATTTTGTCCATCCAAAAACACACAGGTTTTGGATGTAGATTTCTCCATGTTGTTACCATCTTCTTCTTCTGTTACGCATTTAATGATATTCAACTCCTGGTTAAATTGTGGAGCGCCTTAGCCAGTTTGGGACCAATTGACTGTATACATGTAAGAGTAATTCAACTCCCAATTGCATTATCTGAGTGTGTTAGTCCAACTTTGAGAAATTTAACTTAATACAAATTCAGTCATACTAACATGTTTACATGTATTTTAAAGTCCGGTTTCAGTCGGACCAACTCAATAAATCCATTTTCTCTAATGTCATGTAAACAAATTACTGATGCATCTGCAGTCTTACACATATTTCGAAAGATATGGATGAGAATTACATTTGAGTGTACCTAAAAATTTCTATCAGATTCAGTGCGCCCAAAGTAGGCTTAAAATAGCACACCAAAAAACCACCTAATCGGACACCACCCCTTTATCCATAGCGCCATCTGCTGTAACCCTGAACATGGCAGCTCAGGTACATTGCACATGTGTCATGCCTCATAGCTCCTATGGGGTCAAAGAACATGTCCCAGCCTCCTTTGAATAGCCTTAAAGGAAATGGCCACTTTAGAATGAAAATACAGACAGTACTTACTGACCCTCATGCCGACAAGAAGTCCAGTGTAGTTTTTTAATCCACAGAACTTGTTCGGGGTATCGGAGGATAACAGCCAGTTGAATTTTTCCATACACTTGAAGTACATGGAACCCACATTTTGAAAATGTAATAAAACTCCGCTAATGCATTTCAAAAACATCAGAACGGCTCATCCGTCGTAATCCAAGTGCTCTGAAGCATGCAAAATTGACTTGAAAAGACATAATTTACGCCACTTTTATAGCATCATTTCTCACTTTGGTCAGTTAGCCTGTCCTGCAGGCGTGCTGTGTTTACATGGCAACTCGTGCAAGACTAGCTGATGGCTAGTGGTGGTGCTAGTTCTCGAGTCTCGCGCGAGTTGCCATGTAAACACAGCTCCTGATGGCTGTTCCTTCGGTTTGTGAGTGTTCAAAGCAGGTGGCACCTTGTAGCCTCGGCCACCAGTGTGTGAACTGGTGAAAGTGGCATATATTGTGAAGCGCTTTGAGTGGTCGGACTAGAAAGGCCCTATATACTGTAAGTGCAGGTCCGTTGCTAATAAAAAAGTTATAATGAATATTGATCCCATTCCCTATTTTTCACCTCAAATACATGCACACGCACGCACGCACGCACGCACGTACGCACGCATAAAAGAACAGCTCTAATAAAGAAAACTCATCAATTGTGGTGCTCATTGGCTGTTGGTGGAATGACTGAATTTGTTTTTCGGAGGCAACATCCAACATCTTCATCTGCAGGTTTACACCGCTGCTGCTGTTACCTCACTCCTGTTCAGGTTGGCATCCATAAAGCACCAGTCACGGCGTACTAATGATCAGGTGTTGATAAATGTGGCGGCTGAAAACAATCGTAATTTGAATACCACGCCCCTATATATTCACGGTTTAGAGGCCTGGCCCCTAGAGTTGACAACTTGGAGATGCAGAAATCGAGCAAGAAGAGAAACTTCTCAGACGCCAAAATCGAGACCATAACGTTGGAAGTCCAAAGAAACAAATTAGTTCTGTTTGGAAGGCTTAAAAGTGGCTTCAAAGGAAGTCAGAAGGCAGCAGTGTGGAAAGAACTCACTGCTGCAGTCAACAGCGTTGGCGTTGACAAGAGAATTCCAGCTGAGGTTTGAATATTTAACTTATACATCCGTGGTATTGCACAAGTCATATAAAATATATAAAAGCTTATCGCCATTTCACCTTTAAAATTAGGTCAAGAAAAAGTGGTCAGATCTGAAAATCGCCACTAAAAGACGTGTTGCTGCTCTTAAGCGCAGCAGCACCCAGACTGGAGGAGGCCAGCCGGATCCCAGCCTGGCACTGACCTAGACTGGGGAGCGAGTGGCAGCGCTTATGGGGTCTCCTTCGATTTCAGGCTTAAGTGGCGGAGGAGACACTGGCGCACCACCTGTGTCTAAGCCAGATAATGGTAAATATTAAAATGTGCCCCAATCATAAGAAATACACCTCTGCAGAGTTCATTTGACTGTTTTCAATTTATTAGGATAGCTCCTTTCGATGTAGAATTTTACAAAGTAACACTTTTTTTTTTCATTTTTCTCAGACGAAGAGCCAGGTACCAATGCTGGGCCCTCAGCCGCACAAAGTGGCCTGGAGCCAGCTGCAGGAGGAGTTCGGTGAGGCCATGGAGGAAGACTATCGATCGGCTCCAAAGAGGTTCTGGAAAACCGTCCGGCGCCTCAGGGGGGGAAGGCGGCAACTTGCTCACACTGTTTACAGTGGGGGCGGGGAGCTGCTGACGTCAACTGGGGACATTGTCGGGCGGTGGAAGGAATACTTTGAGGAGCTCCTCAATCCCACCAACACGTATTACAGTGAGGAAACAGAGACGGGGGTCTCGGGGGTGGGTCGTCCAATTTCTGGGGCAGAAGTTGCTGAGATAGTGAAACAACTCCGAGGCGGCGGAGCCCCGGGGGTGGATGAGATTCGTCCTGGATATCTCAAGGCTCTGGATGTTGTAGGGCTGTCCTGGCTGACACGCCTCTGCAACATTGCGTGGACATCGGGGGCAGTGCCTCTGGAGTGGCAGACCGGGGTGGTGGTCCCCATTTTCAAGAAAGGGGACCAGAGGGTGTGTTCCAACTACAGGGGGATCACACTCCTCAGCCTACCCGGTAAGGTCTACTCCAGGGTGCTGGAGAAGAGGGTCCGGTCGATAGTTGAACCTCAGATTGAGGAGGAGCAATGTGGTTTTCGTCCCGGACGCGGAACCGTGGACCAGCTCTTTACCCTCGCCAGGGTGCTGGAGGGGGCATGGGAGTTTGCCCAACCAGTCCACATGTGTTTTGTGGATTTGGAGAAGGCTTACGACCGTGTCCCCAGGGGCATCCTGTGGGGGGTGCTCCGGGAGTATGGGGTTGGTGGCCCCTTGCTAAGGGCCATCCAGTCCCTGTACCGAAGGAGCATGAGTCTGGTTCGCGTGGCTGGCAGTAAGTCGGACCTGTTCCCGGTGAGGGTTGGACTCCGCCAGGGCTGCCCTTTGTCACCGGTTCTGTTCATAACTTTTATGGACAGAATTTCTAGGCGCAGCCGAGTGGTGGAGGGTGTCAGGTTCGGTGACGGGAGGATCTCGTCCCTGCTTTTTGCGGATGACGTGGTCCTCCTAGCTCCATCGAACAGTGACCTCCAGCTCTCGCTGGGGCGGTTCGCAGCCGAGTGTGAAGCGGCTGGGATGAGAATCAGCACCTCCAAGTCTGAGGCCATGGTCCTCAGCCGGAAAAGGGTGGATTGCCCACTCCAGGTCGGGGGGGAGGTCCTTCCTCAGGTGGAGGAGTTTAAGTATCTCGGGATCTTGTTCACGAGTGAGGGTAGGATGGAGCGGGAGATTGACAGGCGGATTGGGGCGGCGTCAGCAGTGATGCAGGCGCTTAACCGGTCCGTTGTGGTGAAGAGGGAGCTTAGCCAGAAAGCGAAGCTCTCAATTTACCGGTCGATCTACGTTCCAACCCTCACCTATGGTCACGAGCTCTGGGTAGTGACCGAAAGAATGAGATCGCGAGTACAAGCGGCCGAAATGAGTTTCCTCCGCAGGGTGGCTGGGCTCAGCCTTAGGGATAGGGTGAGGAGCTCAGACATCTGGGAGGGACTCGGAGTAGAACCGCTGCTCCTCCACATCAAGAGGAGCCAGTTGAGGTGGTTCGGGCATCTGGTAAGGATGCCTTCCGGACGCCTCCCTTGGGAGGTGTTTCGGGCATGTCCAACCGGGAGGAGACCTCGGGGCCGCCCCAGAACACGCTGGAGGGACTACATCACCTGGCTGGCCTGGGAACGCCTCGGGGTTCCCGCGGAAGAGCTGACGGAAGTGGCGGGGGAGAGGACTGTCTGGGCTTCTTTGCTGAGGCT